AAACTAAAACAAGAAAAGAATATAATAATCGCTGATAAATTTTACTTACACGTTTTGAAGCACCGGAAAAGAAAAAATTGTTCTAAAATTATTCGAAGATGCAAACAAGTAAATTCTTCAATATTTCAAAAAGTCTTTCTTACACGTCCCAGAAGTTCTAAAAAAAATTTAATGTGCTTTATTCTTGATCATTGTCGCAAACAAAACCGAAATAAACGTGGTAAGTGGATCAGTAAGATAAGATGGTAAAAATACTTTTGGTCAGACGCGTCGCCGAAACAAAATTAACACGTATTGTCCGTGCATGATATCTGATTTGGGATTTCTACAAATTCTCTCATTTTAATGCAAAATTATTTATAATAAAGATACGATAAAGCTATAAGTAAGAAAAATTTAAACACGATTTTGGTCCCAGACGAAACTGTAGCCGAAAGCGTAGTGGGATAATAAAGACACCTCAGGGGCCTGATTTTGTAACTCTTAACGACAGTTTCGTTATCGTTATATTTGCGTTGCGCAGATATTATATATGGCAAAATAGCTGCGCAACGGTAATATAACGATAACGAAACTGTCGTCAAAAGTTACAGAATAGAACAACTGGTCAGTGGTCAAACGCACCGCCGAAACAGATCTCGACCTACTGCGTGACGCACAATATTTGATTTGTTTTAGAATTTGCTCTTTTAATAGGGAATTATTTATAGCAAAGATATAAGATAAAGTTATAATTGAGAAAACCAGATGAGCAAACCTGTGGTCAAAATAAAGCGCAGTGAATAAAGGGCGCTTGTGTTCAAACAAATCTATTCTACTTTTTAATGCATAATGCTTGATATTTGCCTCGAGTTTATGTAAATTCTCTTATTCTAATAATAAATTGTTTATAATAAAGTTAAACTAAAGCTACAAACGAGGCAAGAGTAATTTATAAAATAATAAAGCAATTTCACATAAAGGTTAGTTATAATCTATATGCAAAACACCCGACAACATTATGGTATTTTCGCAGCCCTTTAAAGTCGCTCACATGCTGCTAGTAGCGAGTCGAGTTAAAGGGCCATGGGCTGGAAGTGTCAAGCCAAGGATTCGCCCGGAGAAATGGTTTTCCACGTACGTCACGTCCTCGGAAATTCGCCGTCCAGGAAATCGCGAGGGCGAGAAACCGCCATGCTCCGCGTACGCGCTTTGATGTCCTGGTGAACAACGTAAGCTAGCGGCGCACAAAGGCGAAAGCCCACGGAGAGAGAAGAAGGTTCTCGGCTTCACAGAGAAGGGAACACTTCGCGAAGAGGCGTTCTCACGCAGGAAATCGCCCAAAGACGAGAGGAGAAACAGTCATCCCGCGCGGCATGTGAAACTAGATATGAATTTCGGGGCGTCGCGCACGGGGGTTATAGCGTAAATATTTCATCGGGATATTGTGCGAGAATGTCGCTGTCAGCTGGAAACATTAATTCAGATTACTTCGATCGAGCCCCGATTTCAACCTGCCAGCAATATTAATGATTCATATTAGCGAATAATTACTATTAGTACGCTGAATTTGAGGTGTTAATCCTTCCATTTGTAATGTGCACAAAAATATGTAATATTACCTAACTATCGCTACGATTAATTTCGCAGATTGCATGTTTACACGGCCCCGTGAAAGACGTAAGACTATTTTCTCTTAACAAGCGAATATTCAGCGCGGAGGATTAACGACGCAAAATATAAACACGGAAGGAAGTTCCAATAATGAGATGGGAAAGAGCGCCGGGGGGTAACGAGGAAATAAATGCTAATGGTCAACTTGTTCGTCGGCATGTCGGGAGCGTGTCGCGCTCTAACGATAGCTGGAAGGCTTGCACGACTTGATAAGAGACACCCGTTGCCCCCGCAGAGGTTTTACGCGCGGAATAAAGATAAGCCCCGATGCGTCATGACGTCGTCGTCGCGCGCGCGTTGCGTCGTCGCATTTGCCAATGCGGGTCGTAAGTCGGGGAGCGACTTGCATTTTGAAACAATTGCGATCGTTAAGTCCATTGCGCAATGTACCGTGTACCCAATGATACGGTGAAGACATGAAACCGTCTGGAAACGAGACGGATCTCGGAGAGGCATTATTAGGAGCTTTTTGTATTATACGGATGCTAAAACGCAGCCGCTCTGATCCGACGGCGCGTTTCGATTTGCCGTCACTTTTCTACCTCCGCTATACATTCTCTCTCGGATCACGCTTTTTAAATCAGCGTCCGTGACGCGTGAGAGAGGCTGATTCGCCTCGAATAAAACGCGGCGTAAAGAACCGAGCGATCAAAACCCTTTTACGATCGGGTGCACGTCGTGCACGATTGAAAAACGACGGCAATCGATACATGGTTAATAACGAATTCTGTCGTAACACCCGACGAAATAAAAGCGGTCTATTCTATTTCCCCATTCAATTTGTTGTCGTTCAAACATGCATAAACATTACACCGGAATAAACGAAGGATCATGGCAATATTTACACGCGCTAGCAAAAGTATTCCATTGCAACAAATATGGAGAATGCTATCGGAAGAAAAAAGGAAAGAGAGAGAAAGCAAAGAGAAAAAAAATTAGCATCAACGGTCCGCTTTAAAATATCGGGGTAAAAAAAAAAAGAGATAAATCCACGCATCGTGGAAAAACCTATCCTATTTTCCTTCCGATATTAACGCGGATTTCCCTACACTTTGTTTGACGTGTACGTCATACCCGCCGTTTCCAAGCACCGTTTCAACCCCCCTCGCGACGCCCTTTCTCGTGCGTTACGTGTTCTCGTGTGACATCTCTGACGATCAGCCTGACAATATACAAACACATTCGTCACTGTCGCCCATGGGACGTCTCTTATTTCACACCGGTAAGGACGACCGAAACGACGGTAAAGAGGTAGACAGGCGATCGAATAGGCGGATCTCGATTTTTCTTTCGGAAACAGCTAGTGGTTATATATAGTCGTGTTACAGTGCATTATTATCGCGTCACGAATTTTTTATACCCTTGGGACTAGTTTAATCAGCCGCGGCGCGAGACGTTCTCGCGCGACGTCTCACAACTCCAGCCGATTTTCCGCGAGACCAACCTTTACTTTCTCACCGCGGAATATTTTGCGAAATATTAAAAAATTTTGAGAGAAGAAATTTTATGGCTGAAGTTTGAAACGTTCTTGGAGAAAAAATTAAAAATTTGTCCCAATTAAAAAGAATTATAAAAAGAAATATATTTACATAGAAAGACAATAAAATTATAATAAAATGGAGCACTTCCGGGCTTCGACTTAACAAACTATTTTATTCTTTATAGTCAGAAATTTTAGAAATTGTATTCGCACTTGTATATTTTATCACGAAACAGCGTTTTTGAGATTTTATTCTGTGCTCTCGTTTATCTTTTGTTATTTGTTTAATTTTATTATTCTTCATATAAATATATTTCTTTTTAAAATCCTTTTTAAGTAGAGCAAATTTTTATATTTTCTCCATAAACGCTCCAAACGTCAACTACATGAGAGAAGATTATCCAGAATCGTGGACAGATATAAAAGCTAACGTTGAATCCATTCGCGGTATAACCGAAGCTGCACCCGTCGTGTGCACTCGCGTGTTTGAAAATGCATAAGAGGCCTCAAACGCGGCACCGCTGTCGTTTTATTTTCATTCAACGACCACCTTCGGATCTCCATTCCCAGGCCGAAACGGGAGGCGAAACGGGAGAAGATCTCTGCTGCTAGTTGTTTGCACACGGCTGTTTCCATAAAAGTTTAATTAATTAAGCCGTCGTATATTTGATTAACGCCGCAGGATCTTCCGCGTTTCACGAAAATTGCACGAGTACATGGCACGAGTGACGACTCATCGCGTTAGCGTTGGAAGCATGCTTAATAAAAGCATCATGACATCAATGGATTAATGCAGCGAGCTGCAGTTACGTTACATTGACGCATTAGATCAGCTTAATATACCGGCGGGCTATATGAGCGATGGAAAATATCGGCATTGACTAACTGTTGTTTTCAATACGTAAAACATCGACGCCAATATTTATTATCTACGCTAAAATGATTGATTCACGTGCGATTATATGTCCCAGGAGAATTGCTATTTATATTTAATGTGGTAAAGAGCTGCACAACCAAATCCACGTCAAATTTATTAAATTACGAAATTTATGTTGCATCACACAACGCACGAGTCAGATTTTATAAAGTGATGCACATATTTAACAATATTTCGCTATAATTAATGTCGTAAATTACAAGATAATTGCACACTGAGAACTCATTTCGTTGAATCAACTAAATCCTTGTTTGGATATGGGCAAACAAATTCTTTAGTTAATATAACAAAAATTTGGTTCACATAACAAAAAATTTTTAACATAACTAATCTCTTTGTTATGTGAACCAAATTTTTGTTATATTAACTAAAGAATTTGTTTGCCCATATCCAAACAAGAATTTAGTTGATTCAACAAAATGAGTTTCTCAGTGCAAAGTTCAAATTACAAGGATAATAGAAGAGGATATGCATGACATACGATAGAAACACGACACCTAATTAGCGTTCGTTTATCTATTATTTTGAAATAAAATATAACAAAACGCTATATCTTTTATCCGTCTATATTTCGTCCGTATATAAATTTGCGACAGTTTAACGAAAGACATTTCTCCAACGCGAAACAATAACGGAATTAATGCGGGGGAGGAAACGAGCTAAATTTCTGCGGTAATTTTTGTCATGCAGCGAGATTATTAGGAGTAAGCTGGCGCATATTAAACCGAATGCCGCAGCCCGGGCAGCAGCTCGGGCGGAAGTCGAGATGTATCGCGACGTTAATTAAGACGGATGTGTGCCTGCGAGATATTAGGACCTCTTCCCATATCCTTCACGAACCACATCGTCCCGGAGAGGAGAGAGTCTTTCGGCGGGAGCAGGGCGGCAATACGCGGTTAAAGCGACGGTGTACATTGCTTTGTGGCTTACCATCGTCAGGGACGCGCCCGTCCCGCGCGCGTACTGGAATTCCTGGACACTCACCTGGAAACAAAAGAAAAGAACAGAGGGTTAAATACCGTTGCGAGGATCAGATCGATGTTTCGAGCAGTTTATAGGATACCGATCGCGAGTAAGAGTATCAATGTGTTGAATTGTTATGTCGGGTAATTAGAAATTTAAAAACTCGTTATTCAAACGTTGAAATGTGCAGAAATAAAAAAAAGTAGTAAAAAATATAATTCAAATAGATAAGATCTGATTGATCACTTGATCGAGATATTGTGCAAAAACTACCGGAGAATTTTTTTTCCCAAGTTAAAACGCCTTCGTTCTTAAGGCGTCGAGTATATCGCAGGTCCATTAAAATCTTTAATGGCCGCGCGAGTTAAAGGCTTCCCTTTTCCGCGAGTTAATTCGCGCGGGTTAAAAGCGCCGAGCTCGCAGCCCAGATATCGATGATGCACTTGGCGAGATGCACGGGCGCGAGCTATCTCGATCGTGCCATCTGGCACATACGGAGTTCGCGAGATATCTCGGCTGTGTGCCACCTAATAGCCAGATTAACACGTCGACAAGCGAGCCTATCGACCAAATCGCACATATGGCGTACAGTTTGCTCGAATCGCATCCTGGCGGACAACCTAATTTCCCACCGCCGTGTGGAAAATTTTCCTTGCATTACATCATGTGTCAGCATTTACGTATGCACAAGTGACTTATGACACGTATAGAATTATGTAACATAATATTGTATATACGGAAATAATAATAAACGAGGAAAAAAAATACGAGTTTATACTTTTTTAAAGATTAATTTTACGTCAATGCGTCAATCGATCCCTGTCAATAAAATCTCGCGTGCAAGAATGCCGTGGCACAGAAAGTGCATCTTATTTCTACGGGGTGATAAAAAGAACCATCGTAAAATTCTTACAACATCCGCACGATTAAAAAAATAGTTTGCAGGTATTGCGTGATATACAACAACGTAAAATAAATATTAAACAAATTTTTCAAGCTTATTTACACGCGCGTACGAGTTATAATGCTGAAAGTCACATAAAAACGCACGAAACTTTCTGATAGAAACTAATGAAAGAGCGAGATCTCGCGGATATCGTAAAGATCCACGTGCGCGAACGATAGAACGCAATAACGAAGAAAAACCGTCCGTGAAAACGTGTTGATGAAGAAAGGCAACCGGCGAACGAACGCGGAAAGAAATCCCTCCTGGATGTGATTCAGGCACGTGTTTACGTAAATACCGTAAGGACGGATCGATATAGCGTTTTACCACGCTCTTGGCACGCAACTTTGACGATTGGCTGCCTTTTTTCTCCACGCGAGCCCTTTATGCATGCTCTTTGACACGGAATCAACAAGGCGGAACCGTGTGCTCCGTTATCGGCCGTTCGGAACACGCTCTCGCGCAGTGTGCCACACGCAGCGCACACGTGCGATAATATACGAAACAGGTCTCGCGGAAATTTTTAATGATACGCGTTGTGCTTTATACGCGTCAACAGAAAAATATTGATCGGTATCGCCGATCGAGACCATCTGCACCGACCGCTCATTAGCGCTAATCTCGATCAATTCGATTTCTTTCCTTGCGAACCCTGAATACGCGCGATGTCGCAAGAATTCCATTCTGCTGTATGTTAAGAAGTAAATCCAATGTCCTATCGAATTCCTATATCGAACATTTTATCCGAGCAGTCTGTTGCTTTTATCCTTAACAGTCGCACGGATAGAACAGATTTAGGAAGAAAATTTATCAGGTGATGTTGGGAAAGGGAAAGGAGCATTCATCTTGTTATATTAGCAAATGGATGATAATTACATCCCAATGAGGGAACACGCCGAATCAACGGAAGCAACGGTCGGTGTTTACGGGCAACCAAATGCATACACGAATGTGTGCGCGTGCGTGTGTATATGTGAACACCTTTGTAAGATTAAGCCCGTTTGCCTGTCCAACGTGTAAGTATACGCATAGAGCTGACGTCGGTACACATTGCGTGACGTGTGTGAGCGCGTGCACTGAAGGCTGCATCCGTACAAGTTGCATGTATATAGGAATGTTCCCCGCTGTCAGCATCCTTCCAATAATAAAGGTCGATTCTCACTATCGGTCAAGTCACGAATCGGTCAAAAATTATTATCCAAAATTAATATGCAATTTTAATATGCAAACACTTCGGGAGAATTTTTACACAAGGTATTGATATGGAGAGCACTGCAAAACTGACCGATAGAAGATCGATATATGACCGAATAGTGGGAATGCACTGAAAAATCCATAACCGCAACTTGACCTAGTCTAGTGAGAATCGGCCTTGTTGTACGAGTAGTGGCATTGATAGCAGTAACTCAAAATACGTCGAAGGTACCATTACGTAAGTTGGACAGGTGAAAACGTTTCGATTAATTGAGCCTCGACAACGCAAATGGATAACGGAATCTTATTTTTCTGTCAATTGCAAGCGGACTATCTTCCATCGGAACTTTTAATTCGTTCAATCTCGAGCGGGCTTCAATTTAACGGAGAATCTTAACTTCCGACTTACTCGACGAGCTGTTTAATGAAATTTGAGAAATACTAAACAAACGAGTCTCTCCCTCTCCTTCTTTCCTCGCTCCCCTTTTTTTGACACTCTTTCTCGCAGAGAAATTGCAAAAAACACATGCCAACCGGGGCGTGCGTGCGGAAGGAGTTAATGTGTGTTTCCGTCAAGGGTGCCCGGTTCGCAGGAGTGTGTACATAGTTACGGACGCTTTATGATACTAATTGATGTCGGCTGACGGACAGACCAGACGAGACGGCCGGATCAGCCGTAAAGCGCACTGGCGCCTTCACAGGGTACACCCTTCCGCCTCACGATAGTCTTCGACTTCTCCTCGCTTCCGCCTACGAGCCCGGACGAGCGAGTCGACAATGGACACGCCACTAGGAAGAATGTCGGCGCATGCCTCGGCAACAATGCGCGAACAATGCCGCGTAACGAGTAACGACTTTGGCTCTCTCTCTCTCTCTCTCTCTCTCTCTCGCTCGCTCGCAAAAGCGCAAATTGGCGTCGCAAATCACGAAGAAAGATGTCGACTCGACGCAGACTTGTTTCGAGAAGGAACGACTACTCCCGACCAGCATGTCGGTTTGATAAGTGATTCACGTCACTCATTGCGTTTTCTCCGAAAACGCGAAAATGTTCGCCGGCGCTCGAAGCGATGCCCCAGTTTTTCAACGGGGCATTTTATGAACGAATAATCGAATGTACAGATTTTTTATCTCTTTAAAGGTTTTGAAATTGAGGCTAATTTAAGGGAAACTTAAAAAATATGACTGATTAATTTTCCGATGTTTCAAATATCGACGAACCATCAAATTCCACGAGTACAAATCAATAAGTTATTATGTGGTCGTTTATTTTTGGTTACTATTTATACATAATGTATTTCTTTCTCGTTATTCAATCATTAACCGGCTCTTATTTCGCGACGAAGTCAACTGACGAAATCAGCGGAGAGCAAGAATAAATTAGTATCGATCTTAACTTAAACCTTTATGGTCTCGAATTTCCTCATCGAGGCATGGGTCTTATCGAATTTCTTATTTCCGACTAGTCTCCTCACGCGAAACCAACATAGCGAGCAGGAGAAAAAAAAAAGACGGTAACCATTCAGGACCACGTGGAGAGTGTGGAGACAGGTGGTAAGGAACACAATGGACAGCCGGGATTGATGGATTGATAGAAGAGAGGAGGCTCAGCTGCTGTAAGGCGATTGCGACGTACGGCGCGAGGAAATATAATTTTCCGATCTGCCACCGATCGGAAGTCAGGAGGCGGAGGGGACGCCGCGCGAGAGCACGACATACGTATCCTGTGAAGGCAGCGAGAAAGGAGTAATTCCACATACACAGCTACATAAGGTATCTCGGTGTGAGGCATTAAGATACGCGCGAGGGATGCGATGGCGGAGGAGATGGAGAAAGAAAAGGATGAAGGATCAGAGCGAACGCGGGCGAAGCAGCGAGAGGAGCGAGAGGGCGGAAATCGTCCCGGCAGCTAGATGGGCTTCCAGGATCGACCTTCCACTCGAGTAATGAGAAAATCACAAAAGACGTGTCACTTCAATGGGTCTCCGGTATCTGTCGCGTCTCTCTCTCTTTCTCTCTTTCTCCTCCCACCCCTCTATCTCTCTCTTTCCCTAAAATACTTTTCCATTCGACTACCAACGACAATCTACGAAGACCAGTAACCTACATCGGTCCAGAAGCTTATTATCGAATTTTATCCTTAAGAGACAGGAATCGTCTTGTATAATACGCATTGTTGCGCTTTCCGATTGATTAATCTGACGTTTTCGGTGGGACTCTATTACAGAATTTTCGTTACTCTAATAAAATATAAGAATAAAAGTGTCTATGAATATACGATTACGACGGAGATAATCAATTGTCAAATAAACGAAATTGCCGAATGTCATAAGTGAGCACTGCACATACAGCGGATCAAAAAAGTATTTGCACACACCCAGTTTTCTTACAATAACTTTATTCGGAGGAATAATACGTAATTACGAATTGTGGCCATAAGTAACTTATTATATACTGTACGTAATAAATTACTTAATGTGAAAACAATTCGTACTTATGTATTATTCCTTCGAATAAAGTTATTGTAACAAAACTGGATGTGCAAATACCTTTTTGATCCACTGTACATCGAGTCGAGTGCAAAACGGAATTCGACTGCAAACTCCTTAAAGTAAGTTTTCGAAATTGATTGCGATTACAGCCTTATATTGGCATTGCTTTCTCGCATTCAATGTAATAATCCAAAATAAATTACTCATGCGCGCCTAAAAATATTCAAAACGCCAATAAAATGCCGCCTGATAAAATTTACTCTCGAAAGAATTTCGCGAAATGATCAGAGAAAGAGATCGCTGGTTAATAACCGGCGAAAAACTGTTTAGTGGGTCGATTTATTCAGGAACACGTAGCGGCCATTAATGCGCGATAGCACCGGCTGATCGTA